GACCGGGCGTTATTCGGCAGAGAAGAAACAATCCCCGATCAGCAAAATGGGGTGGGGGAGGAGAAGCTGGTACATCCAGGTACATCCGCCTTTGCAAATGTGCCCAGCCTGTTCATTAGAATAGAGCAGAGTTGGAAGGGACCTTGGAGGGTCTTCTAGTCCAACCCCCTGCCCAGGCAAGAAACCCTAGACCACTTCAGACAAATGGTTGTCCAGTCTCTTCTTAATACTCTTCCAGTGTTGGAGCATTCACCACTTCTGGAGGAAAGCGGCTCCACATATCATTAGTCACTGGGGTCAATAGTGACTACAGGTAGTGTTCAACTTACAACCTCAACTGAATCGGCATTTCAGTCATAAGTCATTGCAATTGTAAGTTGAGGCATTACGTAGACTCGATTTTTATATCTGTTTTGGGGACGGTAGTTAAGGGAGTCTCCATTGTTGTTAAGCAAACCCTGTGGTTGTTAAGCAAATCACATGGTCATAAGTGCAAAGCCATTTTACCTTTTTTTTTTTGCTGGAAAATGGCAAAAAAAGTCACAAAATGCGATCACAGGACCACTGGACATGGCAGCCCATCAGTTGCTGAGACTCTAAAATATGATCAGGTGACCACAGGTAGTATAGCAATCGTACCTTTTGAGGATAAATCGTAAGTAACGTTTTCAAGTCTGTAGTAACTTCAAATGGTCATTAATTGACCACTTGTAAGTCAAGGCTACCCATATAAGGTGTGGCAATTGTACACGAGTCCATTAAAACGTACTAGTTGTGAGGGTTAGCTGGTTTTTTTTTTGTTTGACATGGTGAATTCAAGCTGAAGGAAGTGGACATGGAATTGCTTTGTTATTTTTATAAATCCTTAGGCGACTTTTAAAAAGTAATAATAACGTAACCATCTTTTTCATAAAGATGTTGCTTTTCTTATCAACTTGAGATCAAATTATTCTTCAAAACACCTGAGGGTAAGACAAGAAGCAATTATTGGAAACTAATGAAGACAAGCAACTTAAAACTAAGGAGAAACTTCCTGACAGTTAGAACAATTAACCAGTGGAACAACCTGCCTCCAGTTGTAAATGCTCCAACACTGGAAGTTTTTAAGAAGAGATTGGACAACGATTTGTCTGAAATGGTATAGGATTTCCTGCCTGAGTAGGGGATTGGACTAGAAGACCTCCAAGGTTCCTTCCAACTATTCTATTCTATTCTATTCCCCTCCTCCAGCAATGAGATGAAAATTATGTAGGCCATCTTTCCTCAACCTCTAGGGATCTCAAGATGGACCATGCTGTTTGAACAGTAGGAGAAGTTTCGTTAGATAAATAGGAATGCAGCACTGAATGAAGGAGAGAAAATAGCTATAAGGTCTGGAAGAAAGTTTAGTTATGTGGATGAGTCCACTTGGTCCAGCATATACCATATCAACAAGCATTGGAACCAGACATTGTAAAAACAAGAAAAGAGGAATTTCTTGCATACCCAAAAATAAACCAGCAACTTTTGTTGTTATAAAAACGTGATTTAGCTAGAAGCCTGTGCAACATGCTTCTTCTAAAGATCCCATCACCTACATTAAATGCATTTTTTTAAAAACAAAAACTGGAAAATACAAGATTGACCCAAAGGGGTTTTCTTGAAAACGTTTCGCTTCTCATCCAAGAAACTTCTTCAGAACTGAAAACGCTTCTTGGACAAGAGGAAAATGTTTTCAAGGGGGAAAAAACAGTTGTCTTTTGGAAAAGCACCTTTGGGACAACCATGATGAATCTCCGTAGACATACAAATTTATTCAATGAAGCAAGAGAGTAGAATGTGGGGACGTTCTTAAGTCATCTTGAATCAAAGCCAATGAACGTAGCTTTTTCCCAGAAACAGCCTTCTAGGCCTGAGTATCAACTTCTCCTAAATGATCAGGCACATTGTGACACAATCTTAGATGCTCTCTGGCCCTTCCCCATTATCATAAGACCACCATGCCTTTGTCCCCAAAGTAAACAGGTGGTGAAATCCTTTGGGCTCTATAGCCAAATAGATCCCTGAAGAGGCCAGCCTGAGTCACTTTAGTCCCATTTAAACTTTAGGGAAACTAGATTTTTTTTTTAGCTGTCCTTTCTTCAGGCATTATGTTGATGGTATCTCTAAGTAGAATTAGATCTGTTACATACTTTGGCTCAGAATCATTATTTATCTGAAAAGTTTGGTGAGGAATGCTGATGTGCATTTGAGAGACCAAATCAAGGAGATACATTAAGAAAATGGCCATAATTTAACTGCGAGGTCAGTTCGATCTGCATTGCAGAGTGAAAGATCTATACAGCAAGATAGGTTTTGTGTTTGATTAGTAGCATGAGAATACCAGCAAAATGTCATTTAAAAACTTACTGTCTGCTTATCTGGCATTGTAAAAATATCAGAAGTTGCCCTATGCCGAAACAGACAGCCATCCCATCTTAATAACACTAAAATTCCCTCACCCGCTGCTCTCCAGATCTAATTGACTACAAATCCCAAATATTTTATGAGAAAAGAGCTCATAGGATAATCGATCAAACGCTATGGACTGAGCCAGGGATCTTTTTCATGTAAAGTACAAGTTCGACTACTTGTAAAGCACACAGCCCGTCCTCAAAATTAGAAAACCAAATTAGAAACCATAAGAACAAAAAGGCAAGATATCATAGTCCAAATCTGATTTAAAAACTAAATAGCATGAAATATCAAAACTCAGCTGAGTTAATCTGCAGTAGCAAAAAAATAAAATAAAATCAGGAGCTGTCCGGTAGCACCTTTCCCAATTAATAGATTTTATTTTAAAAAAGCAGAATCTTTTGTGAGCTGATGGAAGGAATTGCCGCTCACAAAAACATATGACTTTTAATAAAACATGTTACTCAGAAAAGGTTCTACCAACTTCCTTCTGGTTTTTTAATTTCAACTCAGAATTTCCTCATCCATAGATGTTACTTATTTCCAGTTCCCTGCCTCAAAATATATGAACAGGTGTGGAATAAAAAAAGCTTATGTTCACAGAATATTGCATGTTTTTCTTTGTATAATCATGCTATCTGCAGAATGAACCTGTCTAGTGTGGCGTTATATTTTTTATTGTTAGATAACAGAGGCTACGAGATAGTAGATACAATGAGACCTGAGAGTAATTTAAAAAAATCTAAATCTAGATTTTGGAGCGCAGCGCAAACGTGACACATATGCTTTGCCCTACAAAGTAAGGCCATGTGTTCCCTCTATGTCAGAATGAAAGCGCTGTGGGAAAAGATTAATAATTTTCTGAAAATTGTCTTTGCTTAAGAGGTCCTCTTGCCACATGTAAGTTTTCAGACACAAGAATTCAGAGGAATGTCTCAGATTTATAACTCTTACAGGGGCTCCACAAATGATAGATGTAGCCAAGAGGGGTGAAGAGCACTTCTTACAAGAGTTGGATAGAAAGCAGGATTGACGCATGAATGACAGGAGGCCGACCTTTTAGAATGCCCCTCCTCCCCCGTTGCTATCCTTAGAAAAAAAGAGGTGAACTGAAATAAGGATGAAGTTGGTGAATTCTTTTCTCCTCCTCACAGTCCCTAAATTCCATATGCTCCCAAATGCTCTCTCGCTGCCGGGACTTGAAAAAACTCAAAGCAGATATTGTATTTTCCTTTTTTTTAAATGCAAGTGGCTTCCTTCTCGTGGCACAAGAACTCTGAGTCCTATTCTACTATCAGATATACTGGCATGTTTGCAAATGGCTGCTTAATTACTAAGGGAGATGCTTTGGCATACAAGCCCGCATAATGTTGGGTGAAAAGAGATTAGGGCCATCTCTGAAAGCCTGTGATTAGGATACAGCTCCATATGTGATAATATTTTAACCAAGCTGTGCTAGGGCGGGTTCCCAACTGCCACAAAAAGTTATATTTAGCTGGTTCCTTTTCCTTCTCCCTTGGGTCTCTGTCATTCCAGGCATTGCTCAGACGTGGCTCCTCTGGCCCTCGGCAGATTCCACTCTGCTGACATATGTGCTCTTTCCTTCTTCCTTGCACACCCCTTCTGTCCACCAGTACTACTTTGAATCTTGCCTGACGTACGGTGCCCAAAATGTCACTCATGGTCGTTCCTGTGTGGGATGTGGGTCTGGCTGATGGGAGGTGACAGCTGCAGGCAATGGTATCTAATGTACAGAGAGGGCAGCTGGCCCTTAGAAGATTCCTATAATATAGGTACAAGATGCCTTTCTTTCTCTAGGGTAGTGGCCAACTCTATGGAATAGCAATAGCACTTAGACTTATATACCGCTTTACAGCCCTCTCTAAGCGGTTTTACAGAGTCAGCCTCTTGCCCCCAACAATCTGGGTCCTCCTTTTACCCACCTCGGAAGGATGGAAGGCTGAATCAACCTTGAGCCGGTGGGACTTGAACTGCCAAACTTCTGGAAATCAGCAGTCGGCAGAAGTAGCCTGCAAAACGGCACTCTAACCACTGCTCCACCATGGCTAAATATTTATTTTGGATCAGAAAAAGCAGGCAATTTCCAAAAGGATTAGTTGATTCCGACACTGATTCCACTGTCAGGTTAAGTTAACTCCATCACCAACTCCACCATCGGCTTATTTTTTTAATCAATGCAAGCCTTTCCCCCCATCCTGCAAAGTCCACTGAGCAGGTATGACCTCAGACCTCAACATCCATGGTTTCAGGAGCGTTTATCTGTCTTCCCACTCAGCAATTTCCACTGAGGCCAACTCAAGGCTTCCCTCCCTCCCAGGAAGACAGAGGCGCACCTCAGAATTACTACCTGGTATTTATGATTGGTGCCACTGGAAATAAATGTGAATTTGTCGATAAACACAGCAAGGAATTAGAGAAGTAGCCGAGCCGGCTCATGACCCAACAGCTCTCCTGGAGACGTTCCATTCAGAAAGACCCTTGGGCCTGGAACCTGATCCTGGCCCAATCCTGGATCTGCTGTTTTCTCTCTCTAACTGGCCTCCTACCTTTCGCTGTTGCTTTTCCCAGGCTGGGTCAAGCAGTAAATCCCGATCCCAGTCTTCCTCCTGTGCCATGTAGTCTTCAGTCATCATGTAGCAATGGTTGTATTGGATGTGCGTTTCCATCTGCGTCGTCATATTGCCTTGTTCTGCGAAGCCCTTTTCCTCTGTGCCTATTCTCTCCCTTACAATTTACACGGTTCCCCCCCTCGCTCGAGCTTTCGGTCTCTTTTTCTGCTTTGCTCCCCTCTCTCGGTTCCCCTTAGAGGTCAAGATCCCCCAAGTCCTTCCAGGCTGTGCGTCTGCCTGCTTTGCAGCTGCACCTGTCAAAACCCATCCACGTGACCAGTCCTCAATAAGTATTATCAGCCCCCGGGAAGGGAGATCAGGTTCCATCTTAAAAAGGCCACGGGGAGGGGACAGCACAAGTGTTCCTACCAACCAGATAGGGGTGGTGAAGACAACTGTTGGGAGGCCAAGTATTCCCCCCCTTAAAGCAGAACCCACAAGCTCTTAAAAAAGAAATTGCTCCAGTGGGCTCAGTGTCTCTCCCATAAAATACATGCCAGATGCAGGAAGACTCCTCTTAGAGCAAGATTCTCTGCCCAGGGAGGAAATTTCCCATTTTCAGTACAGCAAAAGTGGAAAAATCTTACTCAGAGCACTGTCATTAACTTTCCACTAAGGTGCAAGGCAAGAATTTGGACATGTTGTCAGATTCAAGAATAGTCCAACCCCCTGCTCAAGCAGGAGACTCTATTCGATTTCAGACAAAAGACTATCTAATAATCTTTTTTAAAAAAAACCTCCAATGATGGAGCACCCACAATTTCTGGAGGCTAGCCCTTCCAGTGATTAAGGGTCAGTTGGCCTCCATATTGAGAAAGAAGTAGACCAAATTAGTTTCCAGATTTTCTCTTATAACAGAATAACAGAATTGGAAGAGACCTTGGAGGTCTTCTAGTCCAACCCTCTGCTTAGGCAGGAAACCCTATACCATTTTAGACAAATGGTTATCCAATCTCTTCTTCAAAACTTCCATTGTTGGAGCACTTGCAACTTCTGGAGGCAGGTTGTTCCACTGATTAATTGTTCAAACTGTCAGAAAATTTCTCCTTAGTTCTAGGTTGCTTCTCTCCTTGATTAATTTCCACCCACTACTTCTTGCCCTGCCCTCAGGTGCTTTGGAGAATAGCTTGACCCCCTCTTCTTTGTGGCAGCCCTTGAGATATTGGAATACTGCTATCATGTCAGCCCTAGTCCTTCTTTTCATCAAACTAGATATACTCAGTTCCTGCAACCGTTCTTCATATGTTTTAGCTTCCAGTCCCCTAATCATCTTTGTTGCTTTTCTCTGCACTCTTATCTAAAGACCCAACATCTTTTTTACATCATGGCAACCAAACTGGATGCAATATTCCAAGTGTGGCCTTACCATCTTATCTTATGAATTTGGACTTGCAACCATGTTTCCCAAATAGATTCTAAAAATTTCCAAGCATTTCCTATGACAACAACCAAGCAACCTGAGTTCCTTTTGAGATCCTGGCACTCTGTCCAATGAAACTTTTTTCTTCTTCCCCAGATGGATGGAATATGGCCTCTTTATTTGATTCCAAGCAATGAAGGAAAAACCTTCTGCACATGTTCATTCAGGTGTCTATTTCACAAGCTCTATGTGGGGTTCCCCAATATTAAAACTAGATGCCGCATGTATCTCAGGATGTTTGGCATTCCAGAAACTGCTTTTATTTTACAAAAGGTTACTTCTTCCTTATGAAAAGGTCTGCAAGAAACCAGCCTTCCCCTGCACTTTAAAAGGTGATAGGTTTGTTGCGTATCTCGGAAAGTCACATGTTGCATTTGGATGTTTGAAATCCTCCCCATGAGCTTTAAAACGTGCCAGAAGAAATACCTGTTGAAAGGTCATTTCAGGAGGAGAGGAAAAGGTTTCCCAAGACTGACCTTATTCTGTTTGGGATACCACGGACACAGATTGGGTTCCGATTCCAAGAGCTTTCTGCTTCTTTGTATTTCACCAGCATTTGCATAACTCAATCGAGTCTCAGTTCATTTGCAGGCTGCTCCTGCTATGCAGGAGTTATTCTTAGGATCAGTGAGAAGGGGCTTGGGAAAGCTACTGAATGCCTGGGGGAGGGGGGGGGGAGTCAGGTTCTAATTTAATGTTTCAAAGTAGACTAAAGGTATACAAAGCTTTTTAATCCATTGCTTTAAATCATATTTCTACAGAAAAAAACAATTGTTACCAACCTGCCTTCCATTGTAGGAGTCAGTATACAGGTCCTCAATGGAATGAAGTTTATTTGTTTCCTAGTATGATTTGATTGCTTACTAGCAACCTGTGACTACTACTAAGTGTTGTATCTCATGATTCTTTATTAATGTATTCTATTTTATTTTTCTTTATGTACACTGAGAGCATAAGCACCAAAAATAAATTCCTTGTGTGTCCAATCACACATGGCCAATAAAGAATTCTATTCTATCCTATCCTATCCTATCCTATCCTATTCTATTCTATACAGCATCTTATCTTTTTCAAGTTCCTGTACAGGTATCAACAGACATAGCAAAAAAATGTAGAGATATTTTAAAAAGTTAGTCTCTTTCAATAAGTTAAACAATATAGTCAAAAAACAAAATGTACAGAAAATGTACATTTTGACATACAGATAAACAGATCTCTGCCTTTGTTTTGGTCTTTTGACTTAAACTTAAATTTAGCAATGCATAAAAAACAGATGACAATCCTAATCTGCTTGTTTTTGGCGTTTAAAGGATCAATGTTTACCCTGAGGAAGCTCCTATTTTCTTGGCAAAATGATGCAAAAACTCTCTGTTAGAGAAGGAGCAGCTCCATGGTGAACTAAATCTCCCACTTTCTAACATAGACCATATGCTTAAAAGTAGTAGCAAGCTCATTTTATCTCATCTATTCTTTAACCAATCAAATTCCTCCCAGGGGGAGGTGCACCATTCCTGGAGGTACTGCAATACCAGGCTGATGCTTGGAGTGGATGGAGCAAGCCCCTATTCCATCTCCCGGTTCCAAAAATCCATTTAATATGTAGTCCTCAGATAGAGGACATATCAGATATTAAACTGATAAGAACAGATACTACACTTGATCTTAGCCAAAAGGCCGAGAAGCGATACCTTCCCTGGCCAACAGCCTCCTAGGGCATTCTTTCCTAGGAAACTTCAGATAACGACGAGCAAATTCTTTACGGAACTATTCCTTATCGCATCGGAATTTGCACAGCTTTGCAATCTCATCAGATACATTCTGACAACATGCCTATTTCTACTGTCCAAGTTAACAGCCTTGTATTGTGAAGTTTAAATATAAAAATTATGAATTTTGTTAGCAACACTCATATCCTGATTGCCTGTGTGCTTCTTTTGACAGCTATTGGTGCAATATTTACATACGCCTTCCCATTTCTCCCATCATGCCCTTGGAGCTGTTATTCCAGTACTTACCAGTAGAGACTTCAGTCCTCCTACTCTGAAAGCTTCTTGATCAAAGAGCATTCTGAGAAAAGAAAGGGAAAGGCCCATGAGAATGCGATAAATAAAAAAGAACGGCATATAAGACATTCCTTGCATAACGCTTCCTGGCTTTCACATCGGTCCACAAAGACAAACATTTCAGAAGCTTTGCTTGCCATTTCCTTCAAGCTTTGAGCATGGATTATAGAAGCTTATTTTGGAAAATAAATGGTTATTGTATTCCTTAAAACACATGAGATCCTGTTATAAATTTACTTGCTCTGTTTCATACATATCAAAATGAACCAACAGCAATTATTATGAGTGGTAGCGTTGAGTGCCCTATGCAGAACACTAAATTCATAACTGAAGAAGCTTCTTAAGATGAGAAGCATTGTATTGTATTGTATTGAATAGATTTATAGGCCGCCCAATCCCGAAGGATCTAGCAAAACTAGAAAGGCATAACTATCATTATTCTCATCTTCCCTATTACCTGCCTTATCTTTTTATGACTATAACTTTGTTGCTTGTAGCTTACAATTTCTATTGTTTACTTAGTATCCTAGTATGATTTGTGTTGATTGCTTGTTGAGTATCCATGACTATCACGATGTGTTGTATCTAATGTTTTGTGCTGAATGTATTTTTATTATAATAGCAATACTACTTATATACTGCTTCATAGTGCTTTAGAGCTCTCTCTAACCGGTTTAGTCATTCTGTTGCCCCCAACAATCTGAGTTCACATTTTACCGACCTCAGGTTGATTCAACCATGAGCCGGTCAGGATCGAACTGCTGGCAGTGTGCAGTTAGTTTGCAATCCTGCATTCTAAACACTGGGAAGGAAGGAAGCTTAGTCTTACCTTATATACCGCTTCACAGTGCTTTTACAGCCCTCTCTAAAGAGGGTTTAGTGTAAGCCTCTTGCCCTCAACAATCTGGGTCCTCATTTTACGGACCTCAGAAGGACGGAAGGCTGAGTCAAACTGATCTATCACTATTGTTGTACGTACTCTGACAGCTTATGCACCTGAGACAAATTTCTTCCGTGTCTACTCACAGTTGGCCAATAAAGAATTCTAATTCTAATCATTCTTAAGATAATAGATAATGTGGATCAAGGAGATCCCAGGACTGTTTTTGAAGATGGAGAAAGCAGAATTAAAACACAGGTCCAGATGAAAAGCATTTGCCCATACAAAAGCAGACCTTATGCCCACCTGTAAGAACAATACTGTTAGTCCTCGACTTACGACTACCACGGAGGCCAGAATTTATGTTAATAAGTGAGACAATTTTTAAAAGCGAGTTTTGTCCCATTTTATGACTTTTTTGCCACTTTTGTTAAGTGAATCACCGCAGGTGTTAAATCAGTAACACGGTTGTTAAGGGAATCCAGTTTCCCCACTGACTTTTGCATGTCAGAAGGTCGCAAAAGGGGATGGCGATGCTGCAACGGCCATAAGTGTGAAACATGGCCATAAGTCACTTTTTCAGTGCCCTTACAACCTCGGTCAGTAAGCAAACTGTTGTAAGTCGAGGACCCCCTGTATGTATCGTTTGAACGCTTGGTGCATTATGGCATCTCTGACACAGCCTGTCAGGGAGACAAATTGCTGAGGTAAACAGGGAAGATTCAAAAGCCGGGCGCCGATTGGATAGGAGACGCGCCGATCAGATAGAAAGGCGGGCTCAGCGGGGGCGATTGGCTCAGCGGTTTGAGCGGGAAAGGGGCGGCTGAAGCGAAGCCGGAAGAGAGGCGGAGGCGCGTGGGCCGCGCACGCGCCGCCATGGCAGCCAGCGACTGGGACCGGCGAGCGCTGCCCGTCTGCGTCGGGGCGGTGTTGGCGACCGCGCTGGTCGCGGAGGTGCTGGTGGTGCTGCTGCGATTCCCTCCGCCCGGACAGCCGTTCCCGTTCTGGCCCATCGCCTCGCTGCTTTTCCTGCTGACCAGCGCCCTGGAGAGCTCGCGCCGCTTCATCATGGCTTCGCCCAGCACGCGCGGCGTCATGCTGGCGGGGGCGGGGCAAGGATGGGAGTGAGTGGGAGAGGTTACCGGCGCCGCGGCGGGGACCAATAGGAAAGCGACGATGGGGCGGGGCTTATAAAAATGGCGGGGAAAAAGGGACGGTGAGGCTTCAGTAATGGGGGAATTAGATCTCTGAGAGGAAAATTGAGATGAAACCGTTTCTTCTGGAGGGGAGGATCTTTGCACGTGCTCAGGAACATGCTATTTTTCCCATTGGGTTTCTTTTTCAAGGAAAAAGGGAAAAAAGTTGGGAGAATATCAGCCTTTCCCGATATGGAATGGAATTGGAATAGAATATAATACAGAATAGAATGAATAGAATAGGAGAATAGAATAGAAGAGGATTCACAATATCATAGCATAGAATAGAACAGAATAGAATAAGAATAGAATAGAATAACAGAGTTGGAAGGGACCTTGGAGGTCTTCTAGTCCAACCCCCTGGGAGGAGCTTTAAAGCAAATGATACAACCTTTTGGAGTTTGTTGAACCTAAGGCCTCAGGGTTCCTAGGTTTATGAAGTCCGTGTCTCGAGGCAGCCAGCTGGGGATTGACTATAAGTGTAAAGGAAAGAAAGAGTAATGGAAGAAGGCATCATTTTCTCTCAGCCCAATCCACCTCACAGGGTTGTTGTGGGGAAAATAGCAGGAAGAAGGAGTATTAAGTGTGTCTGCTGCTTTAAGTTACTTACAAAGTAATAAAGGGCAGGATAAAACTCATCACGCATTATAGTAGTATTTGTGGACTGCAAATTTAAGACAGACCACTAGATGTCAACAAAGGGACACGGACTAATGTTTGCTGCCCTCTAGTGACTGTGTCATGTATGCATTTTATCTTATTAAATTTCTTTGCAAGGTGATGCTGGGCGGAGTACAATATATAAAAGCAACAGTATCAAATTAAAAATACAAATTCTAATTAAAAGGTTGGGAAGAAAGGGTCAGGATGTGCAGGTGGGGAGGTGGGATCTTCTATTGGTCTATCAATCACATCAATTTTTTCCCCAAGAAGGATTTGGAATCCCAAAGGAAGACAAATGTACTCTCTGGGCTGAACCAATAATGCTTTATTGTCTTATTTATTTATATTCTATCTTTATTTCTTTTATAAACAACTCAAGAAGGTGAATATATTTAATGTTCCTCCTTCCAATTTTCCCCACAACAACAATTCTCTACGTTGGTTGGGCTGAGAGACAGAGGTTGATCTAAAGTCATCCAGCCAAGCTTTAATGCCTTATGTGGAACTAGAACTCATCGTCTCCTGGTGATTGGTCCAAAGTCACTCACCTGGCTTTCATGCCCAAGGTGGGACTAGAGCTCAGTGTCTCCTGGTGATTGGCCAGGAGACAGTCACTCAGACGTTTTCATGTCTAAGGTGGGACTACAACTAGAACTCAGTTTAAATGTAAGGTGGGACTAGAATTCACTGTCTCCTGGTGACTGGCCAGGAGACAGTCACTCAGATGGCTTTATGTCTAAAGTGGGACTAGAACTAGAATTCAGTTTAAATCTAAGGTGGGACTAGAACTCACTGTCTCCTGATGATTGACCAAAGTCACTTAGATGTCTTTCAAAATCCAAGGCATTACTAAAGCTCATTATCTCCTGGTGATTGGTACAAGGCACCCAGTCAGCTCTAGCTACCCTTCCACCCTCTCCTAACATTCATTCTTTTGCCTCCTTCCAGTTACTGCTATGCCTGCCAGACCCACGTGCCACCCCGCTGTAGCCACTGCTTTACCTGCAATGTTTGTGTCCTGCGACGAGATCACCATTGCCTGCTGCTCGGCCAGTGTTTGGGCTATCAGAACTACCGTTACTTCCTCTGCCTGCTGCTATATGGGTCAGTCGCCTTGCTGTACGGCAGCTTGCTCAACGCTAATGTGGTTTGGATGCTACTAGAGGAAGGCGGTCTTGCCCACACAATCCTCCTGCTGACGCTGCCTTGGCTGATGCTCTTGATGGGTAAGAACGAGTGAGAGCTTTTATTTATTTATTCATTCATTTAAAAGAAGAAGGAGTGGTGCGGTGGCCTAGAGGTGGAGCTCTTGCCTCACAATCAGGAGGCTATGAGTTTGATCCTAGGTAGAGAGGATTTCTCTCTCTGGGCCCGGTGAGAATATAGCTGCTGAATATAACTCCGCATTGGCGACAGGGAGATCATACGGCCAGTAAAACACTCTACTAGCTTCATTCAGTTGGCCAGACTCCACCCCACAGGGGATTATGGGGTCTGATGATGATTTATTTAAAAGAAGAAGGTGGACATTTTTTGGTATCTGGGATCCCACTTCCAAGGCAATGGCGACATCAACGGCGAGAGGTGAGCAAGAGTCAATGCAGCCTGGATGTGTTGGTGAGACCTCACTGATGTGTTATGTGACCGATGAATGCCAACCCGTCTTAAATCTAAGATTTACAAGACCACCATCTGTCCTATTGCCCTGTCTGGCACTGAATGCTGGGCAGCTACAACAGGGACCGAAAGCTATCTCCATGCCATGGAAATGCAGATTGGATATCGGGCATCTCCCTTCTTGACCACATCATAAAGGACAACATTTTGGTGTGGCACCAACTATAGAGAAGGTGAGGGAAAGCCAGTTCCGGCTGGTATGGATATGTCCAGAGAGCAGCACCTTCCACCATTGCCAAGACTGCCTACAAACTGGAAATCAATGACTGGTGACCACCATCAACAAAGATATGCAAGCCGCAGGTCCTGCACCCTGGAGACTCAGCTGATCGTGCAAAGTGGTGTTCAATGATCCAAAAAGCAGACCCTGCCCTTGCAGGAATACTCTAGGAAGAACAAGATTTATTCATTTATCTAACTTATATGCCACCCATCTAGCCAGGACTTGATTTTGGGTGGCTTTCAAATAAAGAAAAACAATATAGATGATCCTTGACTTAACAAGCATTCATTTAGTGACCGTTCAAAGTTACAAAGGCAGTGATAAAACTTACATGACCGTTTTTCACATTTATAACCTTTGCAGCATGCTGTGGTCATGTGATCAGAATTTGGATTCTTGGCAATTTGCATGTATTAATCGCAGTTGCGGTTTCCTGGGGTCATGTGATTTCCTTTTGCAACAGAATAGAATAGAATAACAGTTGGAAGGGACCTTGGAGGTCTTCTAGTTCAACCCCCTGCTTAGGCAGGAAATCCTACACCAGACAAATGGTTATCCAGCATCTTCTTCAAAACTTCCAATGTTGGAGCATTCACAACTCCTGGAGGCAAGTTGTTGACCTTCCAACAAGCAAAGTTAATGGGAAGCTAGATTCCCTGAACTGTGTTACTTAACAACTGTAGTGATTTACTGAACAGCTGTGGGGAGAAAGGTTGTAAATTGTAGCAAAACTCACTTAATAACTGTCTCACTTAGCAACAGAAATTTTGGGCTCAATTGTACTTCTAAGTCAAGGATTACCTGTAAAACATTAGAACAATAATAATAATAATAATTCACAATGAAAAGATGGATAGGAAGGGAGCAAGATACACACAAGGGCAGGTGGGTCTTGTCTTAATCATGGCTGGCTGGAGAATTCTGGGAGTTGAAGTCCACAAGTCTTAAAAGTTGCCAGAGTTGGATATGTCTGCTCTAGATGAAGCAGCAATAATTACGCCTCACCTTCCTTCTCTTGCAGGGCAAGTCAGTTTCGTGACCTTTGTCTACGCTTTTGTGACCGACATCTGTGTTGTGGGCTTCTTATTCTGCATCAGTTTCCTGCTGTTCCACAGCTTGCTGGCCCTGCGCGGACAGACCACCAAAGAATGGTTTGAAGGAAATCGCCAATACCACCTGGGCTGGCGAAACAACCTTCGAGAAATCATGGGAAACCACTGGCTGCTGGCCTTCCTCACACCTTTCATCACTTCCCATTTGCCAGGAGACGGAATCAATTTCCAAACCAGCTTTCCGAAAACAGAAGTGCTCTCCAGATCACACAGCAGTTAAAGGTGTGTTCTGGGATTTTAAACAATTGGGGAGTATATGAGAATCAAAAAAACACATCGTTCTGGTTGGTTAAAATGATAACTACAGAGTCACGCTGTGGTGAGATGCACAGCAAAAAAAAAATTAATAATAAATAAATACTACAATTTTTAGTACTATATGCAGGTATTCCTCATCTTAAAAACCATTTATTTAGGTACCATTCTAAGTTACGGTTCTGAAAAACTGACATGACCATTTTTCTCATTCAGTTGCAGCATCCCATTCGCCGTGTAATCAAAATTCGGATCCTTGGCAACTGACTCATATTTATGACAGTTGCAATGTCCCAGGTCATGTGACCACCTTTTGGGATCTTCTGACAAGCAAAGTCAATTGGGAAGCCAATTTCACTTAGCAACTGTGTTATGTGGTGGCACAGTGGTTAAAATGCAGTATTGCAAGCTAATTCTGCTGACTGCCGGCTGCCAACAGTTCGACAGTTTGAGTCTAATCGGCTCAGGGTTTACTCAGTTTCCATCCTTTCTGAGGAAGGTAAAATGAGGACTCAGATTCTTGGGGGCAATAGGCTGACACTAAACCGCTCAGAGCGGGATGTAAAAGCACCGTGAAGCAGTATATATGTCTTAAGTACTATTGCTATTGCTAACTAACAATAGTGGCAATTATTCACTTAAGAACTTTGACGAGAAAGGTCAAAAATGAAGTGGGAAATCATTTAACAGCTGCCTTGCTTAGCAACATAAATTTTGGGCTCAGTTGTGGTTGTGATTTGAGGACTACCTATAGTATTATAGTACTTTTACAGATATTATAGATCTGCAGAACATTTTGAAATATTGATTTTGCATCGCATTATTAGTAGTTCTTGACTTACAACCACAGTTTTGAACCAGAACTTATATTGCTAAGTGTTTTTTTCAGTGAGTTGGATGTGATTTTATGACACAGACACATACAGACACACACACGGTTGTTAAGCAAATCATTGCAGGTGTTAAGTGAATCATGTGGTCATTAAGCAAATTTGTCACACACAGACACATACAGACACACACACGGTTGTTAAGCAAATCATTGCAGGTGTTAAGTGAATCATGTGGTCATTAAGCAAATTTGTCTTTGCTTGTCGGAATCTGGCTGGAAGGTCTGAAATGATCAGTCATGTGACCCGAGGACATTGCAACCATTGTAGATCAGGGTTCCCCAACCTCTGGTCCGCGGATTGACACTGGGCCATGGCATGTCAGAAACTGGGCTGTTCAAAAAAGCGAAGCCCCATCCACGGATGCAGGAAACATGCAAAACCACGACCCCTCCAGTCCGTGGAAAAACCTCTTCACGGAACTGTTCCCTGTTGCCCAAACGTTTGGCGGCCATGTAGCTACATTTGAATTTTAATCACATGACCCTGGGGATGCTGTAATGGTCATCGTTGTACGTCATGTTTTTCACTGCTGTTGTAACTTCGAACGATGACCAAACGAATGTTTGTAAGTCAAGGACTATCTATGTGTTCAGGTTTGCTTATGACAGATTCTCTCTCTTCTAGGTTTTCCCCATCTGTAGTTATGAGGAAAGATGAATTCTACTTCCTTTCAACGATGGCTTTCTTCGCTCAAAAGCAGACAACTTGGGCGAAAATTCTGACGGTTTTGTCTTACATCATTGAAAGCGGAAGCAGTTTGATCTTGGAACGGTGGTGACCGATTGCTTACCCCACGTTTTCCCCCCGGGAAGGGGGTTTGCAGTGCTTTCGTTTCAGTGATCTGGAAAGAAGGAAATTGCTAATGGGGGCAAGAGCGGGGGGACACTCGTGCTTGGCTAAACTGGTCTAAATGCAATGGTTAATATGGAACCATCTTTCCCTTGGTCCAAAGTATATTATTTATATATGTGTCTGTGTATTTTTTTTTCTCGCCCTTATATCCACTGCTCTGAAAATTTGCACATCCCTTCTTTCCCCAGCTTGGGAAAAATGTGAAGCTAAAGTCAAAAGAAAAACACTGTCTAGAAATGGATTCAGGGACCAAAATCCAAGTTTATAATGCTTTGCATCTCAGTTGTTTTCTCCCCTTGCAGCAATTGTGAGATTGTTTCCCCCCCCCCCCCTGAGCCCTAAGATCATGCAGAAGTCAATAAATCTTACGTTGTGAAATATTAAGGCAGTGTTTCTCAACTGTGGCAACTTTAACACAAGTGGACTTCTTACTCCCAGAATCCCCCAGCCAGCTACGCTTTAAGAGGGGATGGGTTTCAACTTCCAAAATTAAATTGTGCTGGAATTCTGGGAGATAAAATTCACTCCCCTCAAAGTACCTTACCTGGGGAATTGTGAGAGTTGAAGTCCACCATCTTAAAGTCACCAGTGTTGGGAGATACTGTGTCAGGGAGATGAGATAGTTAACAATTTTCACCCCTTGTCATTCTCCCTGTTCCTTCCCCACATTTGGCACTGTTCCACCCAATATTGTCCACCCAAATGTCTCTCTTCCTCCTTTCATATCCAAAATCCCCATGGAAACGTTTGCACTGTGAGAGACCCACAAAATGTGTGGGCATGGGGGAACGCAACATTGACTATTCTTTTTTCCTTTTCTTTTTGTTAGATTTTATCCACTGCCTTCTATGATGGTCGTTTCAATATTATTTTTAATGCTTTAATGTTTCTAAGCCACCCAGAGTTGTTGGATACAAGATGGGCAGCAAACAAATTTCCTAAATAGAGAAATAAAGCATTTATACAGTGGCCTTCTATATTTAACCAAGCGTTGATTGCACTGTAAATTTTTCAACCCAAAAAATAAACTCTTCCCATTTCTTCAAGCTAGGTGTGCAGACTATTATCAGTGGGGTTAATTTGAATGTCACGATAATGCAGTGGCCGTTGGTTGGTGTAAACAACCTTGTGAAGCTCAAAAGTAGCACTGTGCTTGCCAGCTTTCTTGCCTTTCTTAGCAACTTTGAATTATGTTGGCCTTGGATAAAGGATTTAAATTATATTTTTCATGAACTCTACAGGGAAGTGTGGGGCAAATGGCTATTTTTCTGTTTTAACGTTTCATGTAACTTCTTGAGAAGAAGTAAAGAAATAAATGAGGAAAAAAATAATGCAGTGATCCATCCTTTTGTGATCTCTTTGTGTTGTTGTTTTAAGTGGCATTGTAGTTGATTGTTCAAAGGTCCCCAACCCCCATGCCAGTACTGTACCAGTCCATGACCTGTTAGAAACTGGCCTGCACAACTGGAAATGGGGAGTGGGCAAGCAAGCAAAACCAACCCGTCCAGGTCCATGAAAAAATTGTCTTCCGCGAAACCAATCACTGGTACCAAAAAGCTTAGTGACTGCTGGATTAGAGGTCTCAAATTTGCTGTCTGTAAGCCACACCATCTCTGAGTATTTTTTTTCTTCAGATTTTAACAACCTTGCTCTCTCCATGCTGATTTTGAAAACAAATTGCCTGCCCATTCCGAACGGAAAACAAATATTAGTATTCTGGTTCATGGAAAACATTGCCAGCTATGTCCCCAAATTTTAAATCACCTTTCTCTCTTTCTCAAAATCCAGCTTTCCTAATGAGGACCATAGCTAGACTGCAGAAATCAAGAGAGCAACATAGAATTTTCTGTATCTGTGAGACCCAAGCTTGGTTTAGATTTTTGCAACCCAGACCTAGGTTAGATGTGAATAAGACTCTGTTGTTTTGATCTGACTTAAAAGTCAGGCTTGTTGTTTTATTTCTTTTTTATGTATTACCGTAATTACATTTTAAAAACTGCCCACAGAGAAGTTTTCTTTACTGATTAGAGCAGTGTTTCTCTACTTCAACTTAAATCTGGGTGGATGTCAACTCCCATGCTGTCTAGGGAATTCTGGGAGTTGAAGTCCGCACAGGTTTAAATGAACCCCAGTAACACTGGATTAGTGAAAGACCTATCATTTAAAGTGCACCAAATATCCCACTGAGCTAAAACTTCTGTTTGAGTCTCCTCTTAAAACTCATCATAGATATAATAACCGGTATATCTTTCTTTTCAGGGCCTGAGTTCAACCCTGTGACACAGACTTGAGGTACAAGGCCCAGCTAGACTTCAAATCTTAGCAGTGGTGTTTCCATGCCAACGTCCAGCCTGTCCTGTGTCTTGCCTTTATTCCAGAACCCACTGTGTTGGCTGGGCTTGTTCTGAGAGAGGACCAGTTGCTTCGGTAACCAGAGAGTAGCCAGGACTCTTCCATGTTGTCGTGGGCACCATGTTGAACCCTCATCGCCAGTCTGTGCTGACCAATGCATGTATCAAGCCCTCGGTGGACCCCATCACCCGGACCCCTGGCACCATCTATGAACCAAAGGGGCAGGTCCGACTTTTGGGTCTGCTTTCAGAAAACACTCCGTCGCAGCAGGTAGCTTGGGTTGGCCTGACACCACTGCCATGGGTTATGGGTCCATCCCCTGAAGAAAACTCTTATCTTAACTAACCAGTTGAATGAGAAGAGCAGGCAGAGCCAGGGTGGTGGTGGAGTAAAGCAAGTCATCAGCCTAGAATTGTTACGTTTCCATAAATGATCTAAACCCAAGTCCTCTTAAGACTTGGGTTTAGATCATTTATGGAAACGAATTCCGAAGATCCTTATCTAGTGCCACTTTAGTACTGACATTAGTTTGACTGGATTCTTATCAGTGGTGGGTTTCAAAAATTATTCGAACCTACTCTGTAGGTGTGGCCTTCTTTGTGGGAGTGGCTTGCTGCCCATGTGACCGGATATGAAGATGCCGACGACACTTGTCAGAACCACCTTAAATTACCTCACACACAGCACTGGCATGCATAAGAATATGATGTGCACTTGTTTCTTTAAAGGCATCCTTGGTTTGCGTTAAAACAACTTCAACACACGCAATGATCTGATTGCCCCACAAACGCAGTAGTCATCC